TGCAGATAAATAAAAATAAAAAATAGACTTACAGTTAAATCAAGTGATAAGAAATCTTTGACGTAAAGGTTTTTCAGATGTTGATTGCTCATGCTTGCTATAACGAATGGTTCTAAACTCTTAGAAAGACGACCGCAAAGTGAGAAAAATAGTTCGCTGTTTATGTTATTTAACTTTCATATCTTAGGTAGTCTATGTATAATATCGTCATAAATTATTGGCAAACCTTCGATGTCTGTTTTTAAATTGAGACTGTTTTTTTGTCTTTTTATAAATATCATTTCTGAAATCAATTTTTTGTTATAAAGTGATTCTTTATCAAGTATTTTTACATCGTCCCAACAAAATTCATGATTATATTTTAATCTATGGTCAGTGATTACAGATTTTTTTTACATTCCTGTGTATGTTAGATCGATGTTCAGATATTCTAGTAGATAATTTCCTACTAGTCTGACCAACATACGACGCATTACAATCTTTACAATCTATTTTATATATCACATTGGTGTTTGAACATTTTGGAATAGAATCTTTGTGTACTTTTATGTATTTATTCAATTTGTTAAGACTGTAAAAAGAGAGTTTAACATTCATGTCTTTTATGATGTTTCTGTATTGTTCACTAAGCGTCGGTAAGAATGGGATGTAAAAATACGAGACTTTTTCAATGTGGTCATTATTTTTTGTAAGAATATTACGTTGTTCAATTAAATATTTTAGTCTATGGTTCATCGTGTCAAAGATTAATTTCAGTGGATAATTATTTTCAAGCAATAAATTAATTACTAGCTCTAAATTTTTCTTATGAAATTCAGAATCTGACAATAAGAAGGCTCGATCAACAAGCCCCTCTATTGTACCTTTTTTTTGACTCATAGGTGACTTTTATAATTAATTTATGTTAAATTTTAATAACCTCTATTTTTAATTATACACGCTAAAGAACTGAATTGGCATTTTTGTAAGGATAAATATTATTTATAAATTTATACGTTTTGACGTTAAGATTCATTTGTTTTTACCAAATAATATCAAGCGATGAATTTATATTTGTTGATGAGCGATGATCATAACGATGAATTTGTACTTATTAATATAACATAAGATATTAGTTTATTAATTTAAGATTATTTTGCTGTCGCTGAAGAAGGTCATAAAATTGATCGAAATGTTCGAATTTATTCTTGTTCTGTTATTTAATATATTATACATCTTTCACTAATAAATTACTGATTGATTTAATTAGCTCTTATTGCCTTTTAATTGTTTGATTCGTTAAATAAATTATACGTGCAAACCAATCTCGCTTTGTTCTCATGGCCTATTACTCTTCCTTTCTTATTTTAATTTTGAAGAGCAAACCTAATACATTTTTGTGTTAAAAAATTAAATCTTCCTCTTTTTTATTAAATTATACCATAAATAATCAATCGTACTCTAAAAATGTTGAGCAGCTATTGAGCCTATTCAAAATCTTTGAGATATAGAGCGAATTAATCAGAAAATAGCTTCTTTTTACATGGCTATGAATACCAGCAAATTAGAGCACGGATAATTATAAAGCGGATAAATCAGACCGCTTTTCTACTCGGCCATGTCTAAAATGCTAATATCATAATTTGTTTTGACGTTTTATAGTTGCCCACTGCTGTACTGCTACACTCTATTTCATTTTGTACAATTTCTGCAGAATATTCTAATTAGGTTTTTTTTCGGCAACACTATAGACATAGACGTTAAAATATTATTATAAAATAAATATTTTAAAAAAATATAAAGTAGAGTGATTAAAAAGATAATTAACAAGATATTATAAAAATTAATAAATAACAATTGAAATAGAAAAGCTATGAGAGCCGACCGCGGATGTATGTACAAAATTTTATTTTTCGCTGTCTTTATAATTGTGCACGAGGCGAAAGCTTAGCAATTGTTAATTTATATTTTTAAATATTTATTATTTATTATAAGACTTATATAGGAAAAAATCTCTTGAGATATTAATTCCTAAGTTCCCCTTTTTTACTCCTCTGAAGTGATGTATGCGAGAAAAATATTATGTATCGAAAACTAAAACGCACTAACAATTTAATCGAAAGATACCATCGTACTCTAAATCATAAGTTTGGAGATAATCGAGATATCTGGATGTTTATAAGTAAGTTTTGTACATTTTCGGTTAAAAAATAACAAGTGGAATAGTTTATAAAAATTATTAAAAAAAAATTTTTTTTATAGAAAAATTAGGAAAATTACAAGCAGTAACACGCAGAGATTTGTCAACGTTAAAAGCGGGAAAACCGTTAACGCGGTTAAGATACAATTGGATTATAAAAAACCATGTCTTAACAAATGCTTGGAATCGGTTAGACGATGGATTACCAGTTGAAGATTTTCTTGTTTTAATAAGTTCATTGTTATAAAAAAAATACATATAATAAAAGTGTATAATAATAAGTATATAAGTATATAAGTATTATAAGTGTATAATAATTTAATTTGTATTATAATTAATAAAATTAAAATAACATTCAAAAAGTAGTTTTAATTATAATTTAAAAGAATTAATCAATAAAGAATAAATAATCACATATATTTTTATCATCATCATATAATATGTATATTTTCTTTTTTACTTTTTACAATACAATAAAAATATTTAAGAAAATAATAACTTTACAATAAAAATATCTAAATATTAATATAAAAAGAGATATGGTCTGTATTATCAATAAAAACACATTCTGTGCTAAATAAAACTGATTTAGCATGTAAATAACAGTGTGTAAACACTTTAATGTTTTTAAACAAAAAATTCGGGATTTTGTCTTGCTCTTAAATTTTGGGATTTTGACTTTTCGGAACATTGTCTCATATCTAAATTTTCGGTTTTTAACTTTTCGGAACAATGTCTTGTGTCTTGATTTTCGGGATTTTGACTTTTTGGGACAATGTATCAGCTTTCGATTTTCGGGATTAGAGTTTTTCGGGATTTTGCATGTCCTCCGAAAAAGTTGACTGAATCGGGAATCGAACACGAGCCTTTTTCAGCCGGCGTGATACTTTAGTAATATTATTTCATGCCGACTGAAAAAAAAGCATTTGTTTATATATATATATATATATATATATATATGCGAAAGAAAGATATTAGTTCGTTAAGGTGTCTGAATAGCTCAATGGTAAGAGCAATCGAAAGACTCGGATTCGATTCCTGATTCAGCCGACTTTTTCGGACCGATATATTTTTCTCGCATACATTACTTCAAGGGGGTAAAAGGGGAACTTAGGAATTAATATCTCAAGTACGAGATTTTTTCTATATAAGTCTTAGCAATTGCTAAGTAAAATTTCGTGTCTTGTGCACAATTATAAAGACAGCAAAAAATTAAATTTTGCGGTTTCACGCACATACATCCGCGGTCGGCTCTCATAGCCTTTTTATTTATAATATATACATTCATCTTGGCTAATAGAGCCAAACGCAATGTTATTGCAAAAATTAAGAAACTTAGGAATTCGTATCTTATGGTTGAGATCTATTTTGAAATCTCAACTATAAGATACGAATTCTTAAGTTTCTTAATTTTCGCAATAACATCGCGTTTGGCTCTATTGGCCGAGATAGATGTATATATTATGTATTTATTTCGAGCTGACTAAATATTCTTAATATTCTTTCTATTTACATTGTTATTTATCAATATAGGAAGCCTTACTTTCTCATACAGCACAGAAACTTTTCAGAAATATTTCAAAAATATTTCATGTGACAGATTGAAACATTTCATAAATATTGCGAAATGTTTCTGCAACAACTTTGAGACAACTCTGAAATAGCAAAATGTCCGCGATTCTTGCACTTGAAACCTTATAGAAACCTTATTGAAACCTTATAAAAAGTTTGCTGAAAGGTTACTAATAAATCTGCAACTTTTCTGAAATATTCTTAAAAGGTTACTGAAATGATTGAACCGTTTCTGAAATATTGCTGAAAACTATTTTAAATAATTCTGAAAATTTTTTATAATATTGCAAACATGGCTGCTTTCGCGACAAAATTAAAATATGATCCAGATTAAAATGATCCTGCACTGGGATTGTTCAAATCTGAAATTTCATTGAATACAATTTCAATGAGATTCCATGAAATTTCAGATTTCACTAATCACAGTGCAGAATCATTTTAATCTGAATTATATTATTTTGATTTTGTCGCAAAAGCAGCCCATATTACAAAACTGTTATTCAAATAAAAAAATATATATTTCAGAAATAATATTTAAATTTATTATATTTATTGCACACAAATATACGACAAAATTTACACTAAAAAGAGTATAAAAAATATATCTAACGTTGTACATTTTTTTAGCTCAGTGTTGCAATTTTTTGTCAATGATTCTCACTAAAAGGTCGAATGTTAGATCTCTAGGATATATATAAATTCTACTTATAATAATATGGTATTTTAGCTTTAGGATATAGAAGAAACATATTTATAATTTTTATTAAATTTTTATTTGAGTAGTATATTGTTTTAATAGTTGAATCGTTACATAAAATAAAAATAGTTATCACATAAAATAAAAACTTTTTACAATAAAGTAAAAATTTGAATTCCATTTGGATAACATTGTTTATTGTTATTCTAATAACATAATTAAAACTTCCAACAATTTTTGAATAAATTTTAAGTGAACTTGCTAAACTCTAATTATATTTATTTGATAATTTTAACTTTCTTCTAAAAAAAATAAACTTTCAAACAAAATTCTCAAACATAAAATAAACTTTTTTCTAAATAAAAAAATAGTATTTTACTATAATATAAATCAAACATTATGCAAAATAACATTTGAATTTTGTTTGAATAATATATTATTTGTTCAGGTAATACAATATAAATTTTTAGAACACAAAGTAACTTCTTTTTTAAATTAAAAAGCAAAGTTAAAAGCGAAACATTTATTCCGATGGCTGTTCTTTTTGTTTTCGTTGTAATCGTTCTCTGAATAAATACAACGATTAATAAGTACTGTAATATTATATATATACATTTATAAATAATCTCACTTTTCATTAATAATATTTACTTACTCATCTCTGTCATGACGTAATTTGCCCTGGATGAACCATTTAGAGATGACTTCGATAATTTGTTTGTCATCCGTTTCGAATTTTGCATGAACACATTCTAGATAAACAAGGAAATTTATTTTATTAATATAGAGATTACCTTTTGTTCAAAATTATATTATTGAAAATATTGCGTGCTTACATATAAAATAATTATTTAATTATATTGATACAATATAATGAAATAATTATTTTATTTATTTTGAAAAACGAGAAATTAGTAGTTTAAATATTAACATACTTTTTATGCATTTAGTTAACAATAAATCTTTGAAAGGCTCTTTCTTCATACTTTTTCCATTCCAGCAATATAACGTTGAAAGATGATTACTAATAAAATTTTTGAGAATAACAATTATCATGTCATGAGACGTTTTATGTATTGGGTTGTTCAAAAAGTCATTGCGTTTTTTTCCAATAGATAGCGCTGTCCACATTTATTTGTATCTGAGCGTGCCATGAATGTCAAATGTTTATGCACATTTTGTTGTTGACACTTAACCTAAAAACCAAAAAAAAAGTTGACGCAATTTAGTCGAGTTTTGTGCTTGCAATTGTAGTTTAAACATGGAGAATTTTGAAGAGCATATTCGCCATATTTTGCTTTATTACTTTAAAAAAGGGAAGAAAGCAACTGAAGCAAGGGAAGAGTTGCGTCAAGTTTACGGCAGAAATGTCATTGAAAAACGTCAGTGCCAGAACTGGTTCGCCCGATTCCGTGGTGGTGATTTTTCGGTTAAAGACGCTCATCGCTCCGGTAGGCCTTCCGAGATTGACGACGATAAAATCAAGGCATTGGTGCAAGCAAATAAGCATTCAACGGTTCGGGAGCTTGCTACCGCTCTAAAAGTGTCCATTGGAAGTGTTCATGGACATTTGAAATCGCTTGGTTTCGTGAAGAAGCTCGATATTTGGGTACCGCATGAGTTGAAAGAAATTCATCTGACAAAGCGTATGAACGTCTGCGATCAACTCACCAAACGCGAAGAAAACGATCCGTTCTTGAAGCGTATGATCACGGGCGACGAAAAATGGATTGTCTACAACAATGTGAGCCGAAAAAGGAGTTGGAGTAAGCGAGATGAAGCACCGGAAAGGCAAGCAAAGGCGGACATCCACCAAAAGAAGGTGATGCTGTTAATCTGGTGGGATTGGAAGGGACCAGTCTTCTATGAGCTGCTTCCACAGAATAAAACGATCAATTCCGATGTCTACTGTGAGCAGCTACAGAAATTAAGTGATGCCATCGCACAGAAACGTCCCGAGCTGATCAATCGTAAGGGTGTGGTGTTTCACCACGACAATGCGAGACCACACACAAGTTTGGTCACTCGGCAAAAATTATTGCAGCTTGGTTGGTTGGGATGTGTTGCCACATCCACCATATAGCCCAGACCTTGCGCCATCAGACTTCCATCTATTTCGCTCCTTGCAAAACTCCTTGAACGGTAAAACGTTTGCTTCTGAAGACCTCATCAAACAGCACCTTGACAAGTTTCTCGCAGAGAAAGATAGGAAGTTTTATGAACGCGGTATTATGAAATTGCCCGAGAGATGGCAAAAGGTCATTGAACAAAACGGCCAATATATTATTGATTAATGTTCATTACGTATATTAAATAAACGCACCTGAAAATCAAATGAAAAAAACGTAATAACTTTTTGAACAACCCAATAATATATAGAGTATATAAAGGAAATTATTAAAAATCTGTACTTACACATGTAACCTCAAAATTCAAGAACGAACAAAAATTAAAATTAGACAAATTCATCATATGTAAAATGAAAATAGTTTAAATAATGACAAATATACAGAGTAAAATTATGTAGAAAAGCATGCACCGGTTAAAAGTATCCAAAAATATACATGTTAAAATGCAGTTATAACCTCTTTTTTCGGTACTTTGAAACATTAATCATGAAAATAATACCTTGAAAGTTTTATGTCTGATTTCGAATTCTATCAAATAAGTAGATATTATTCCTTTATAAAACTTTACTATTTATTAGAACCAGTAGACAGTAGTGCTATCATAGCAGTCCAAGTCTATGCGGTTTAGCAAGCTGTTCTTGTCGTTGCCTGCATTCCACATCCGGAACCTAAAAAGCGGGAAAGAATTTGATTGGTTGTTCCTATATATATATATATATACATTAATATACATTTAATCTGTACAATAAAAGATATGAAAATAAATTTTTATAATACATACCGTCGACTATTTTGATTGATTTGTTATATAATATATATATGTATATACACTTATAATCACTATATTAAAAAATCGTTCCAGTTTTCAAAATTATTTCATATGAAAACTTTTTGCAACACTCATATTAATTTTTCAAATTTACCACATGTAATAGATTTCAGAAACATTTCTGTTGCAACATTTCATATGACATATTGCAGAATTCTGTCAGAAATGTTGCACATGAAATGTGAAACATTGAAATGATTTTGAAATATTTCTGAAAGCTTTCTGTAACAATCGGTGCTATATGGGTTAGTATTATTATAAAAATTAAATTTATGTTCAATCTTTTAAATTAAAAAAAATACAAATTATTACATTGAGCTCCTAAATATAATATAAAAGAAAAATTCTGGAAAAGAATTACTTTCGATTTAAATGAAACTTTGTGAAAAGCTTATTTTTAGTTAAAATAAAAACTTTTAAAAGAAATAGTAACTCTTATTAGAAAATCATTTAAGAGAAAATGATAAGAAGTATAATCATGTAGTCGTGATGACCTATATAAAATATTGAAATACATGTATAAAAAAGTTTTTACAATGTTCCAAAGCAAAAAATTAGTTGCTCACTTTTAATTATCAAAATATAATTATAAATATAATTATCAAAGTATAATTATCATAAATTTGAAAAACAATATATTATTCCAATATTTGTATTATGAAGGCTTGTAGGATTAGCATTTTGTTATGTTTATATTTTGCTTATGTGTGAAAGTATGATTTACTTAAAATTCTTAACTGTATTATTTGTAACAATTGTCTATTTTTCCATTTGTGCTCATTGTTAATACATTATATGTGTAGTAATAAGGTTAGGTTAGGTTAGTTTTTTTGGGATTTAAATACGGAAAGAGGGATAAATTTCCTCCTTTCGATACATATATTGTTTTTATATACATATCAGTAAATTAGATTGCATATTAATTGAAGTGACATATAGAGTAACATATATAATTATTATACTTTTTACTATTTTCTTTTAAAAATAGTTTTTTATTAGAATCAAAATTCCTTTTAGAAATTTCCATTTCAATTTGAAAGAAAGTTTTCACGAAGGTTTATTAAAATCCAAGAAGAGCTTCTTTTAAAACTTTATTCTAAAAAGAAAATAAAATACTAGACAATTAACACATTATTTTAATGCATTAGGAAATCAAAAAAACATACATGACAAATAAGAATTTTGAACCAAAAGTCGTGGCATATGCTTCTCAAGCTGCCGAGGGTCTATGCAAATGGGTACGTGCCATGGTATTGTACGATGAGGTTGCAAAAATAGTTATGCCGAAGAAAATCAAACTCGCTGCCGCTGAACAGGATTACAATAACACTCTCACATTCTTACGTGAAAGGCAACAAATGTTAACCGAATTGAACAAGAAGTTGGACATTCTACGCGAGAACCTCCACGAAATAATGACGAAAAAGATTCAATTAGAAAATGAGGTTATCATCTTTTTATTATTTTACCTTACTTTTTCTATTGTTTCTTTTGCTTTATACTTCTCTTTTTATTCTCTATTCTTTTTCTTCTCATCTTTTTTTTCTTTTGTTTTTTTCCTCTTTTATTTTACATTTCTAGAATATTAGTCTTGATATATATTTATCATAAATATTGAAATGTATGTCGCTAGTTATCTTTTATAATTATTATTTATAAATTGCCATAAGTGATTAGAAGCATAATGTAATTAGAGTTTATACATATACAATTTAGCTGAATGAGATGCTGAAGTGACGACCAAACTCCGATAGATTAGCACACATAACCACACATATGCACGCATACACATATACATACGCATATATACACGCACGTATGCGTGAAAATTTATTAGGGTAAAGGTGTCGATTATGAGATACCATTTACATTTTCTAAATTATTTCCAAAACATATGCAATTAGGAAAGTATTTATATACTGTTTTTAATCGCCATTTTATGTAGTTTTAGGAACCCTACTTCAATAAGTTATATCTTGTTCAAATTTTAATATACATAGGTTTGATTAAAGTAAGTCAGTTTTTGTATCAAAACCAAAAGATCTTTTAATGAGAGATATTAGCTGATCTTAATATGAGATACTGCCTCATATTAAATAAACTTAGTTTCATTTTTATTAACACCAAAAATAAAAGACAAAGATAACAATAAATATTTTTATTATTTTACTAGTCTTAATTTTAAAACAATAAAAATACAAATCAACGCTCGTAAAATTTAAAATTAATAAAACATGAAAAGTAGGCCAAATATACGAATCAAAATGATTTAGATGTAAAAATAATTAAAAATTTTTATTCATAATATAAAAATAGACGTTTCGACCTTACTGGGTCTTTATCGATACAATCAACCGCAAGTATAAAATTATAAAATATAATAAAGAAATTTAGACATAATCTCGCAAGCTATGTAAAGACAAAACTTCGATTATGATTCGATTTAATTACAATGGTTGAAACAATTATTCTTAGATGTCTTATGTTTAAGACCATCTCTCAATTAAATGCACGGAGTCCAAATTGGTCGTTGGACAGCGCAAACGGTCTGTTCCGACATCTTCACGAGATGAGTCCCATTAATTCAAGCCCTTTTTTCCCACAAAACAGATATATTAAAAAGATTCCAATGAAGAACACTCCGAAAAATATGAATTAGCAATAACTTACATATTGATGTTATGTGTTGGTTGTTGTGACTCAGCAATATCAAGGAATAATATGTGTCATTATTGTGTCGTAGCCTGTTTATATAGTCAATAGTTAAAGGTTAATTTGTTTATTTTTTATTAAAAAAGTGTGTCAGATACGAGTAATTCTTCTAAAATGTCAAAATAACAGCTTTCAAGAAATTCGATGTCTTTCTTTAAATTTATACTGTTTTTATGTTCTTTTATGTATAACATTTCAGAAATAAGTCTTTTATTATAGTTGATTTCATGATCTAATATTTCAGTGGCTTCCCAGTCAAAAGTGTGATAGTGTGATAAAAATTGATGTCTTGTTATTAGGAGATATATTTGAAAGTTTTCGCGACAGTTGTATAGACTCAACCCTGCGTTTTACTATACCCTTCCGGGATATATACATGGGATGCTATGTTAAAACATACAAATATAACATTTGAATTATTAACACACATTGATATGGTTATGTTTATCGAACGGGGTATACACGGCGGTCCAATTCAATGTTCAAGCAGATATGCTAATAACAAGTACGTGCAATCGTACAATCTATCAAAACCGTCATCGTGTCTCATATATTTTGACGTAAATAATTTGTACGGATGGACAATGTGTTAGCCATTGCCTTATGCTGATTTCAATGGGTCGATAATGTAACTAATTTTGATGTTTCATCTATCGCGCTTGATTGACCTATAAGCTACATCTTTGAAGTAGAATTAGAGCATCTGCAGCATTTTAACGATACGCACATTGATCTACCGTTTTGCCCGACACGCGACAAACCACCCGGCAAACGGAATAAATAGGCTTCGGAAAGATAAGCTTCTTGCAACGTTTGACGATAAGAAGCGCTACGTGATACACTACCGCAACCTGCAGCAGTGCACGCATCACGGACTTTGTGTTATAAAAATACATCTTGTATTACAATTTACTCAATTCGTATGGTTTCGAAATTATATCGAAGTTAATACACAGTTCAGAACATTAGCGAAAAATGAGTATGAAAAAAATTTATATAAATTAATGAATAATGCGGTATTTGGCAAATTGATGGAAAATGTGCGTAATTATGTGAATGTAAAATTATTAACAAGATGGGAAAGACGATACGGCGCGGAGGCAATGATCGCAAAACCAAATTTTCATAGTTTGCAAGTATATTTTCGGAAAAGTTGGTTGCCATAGAATTACGCAAATTTGAAGTAAAATTATATAAACCAATCTATGTCAGCATGTGTATACTCGACATCTTCAAAATATGTTTATACGAGTTTCATCACGAATACATGTCACCGCTCTATCGTGAGAAATGTCAGGTAATGTACACCGACACCGACAGTTTAATATATCACATTGAATGCAAAGAAGTCTACGAAAATTTGGAACGCGATATCGCTAGATTCGATATAAGCGATTACGCTGTGAACAATTCGTACGGTATACCGCTTGAAAATAACAAAATACCGGATCTGAAAGATGAAAACAACAGCGCGATAATGACCGAATTCGTCGGGCTTAGAGCAAAAATGTACGTTTTGCGAGTGGATGATAAAAAGGACATTAAAAAGGCAAAAAGTATCAAAAGTAACGTTGTACCGCGCAGTATAACATTCGACGATTATACGCGCTGCCTTAATAACGAGATTGAAATGACGCGACAGCAGTCTTGCATAAAATCTAAATTACATAAAGTGTATGTACCATCCGCGAGATGAAAATTGCTCTAAGTCCCTACGATGACAAACGGTATGTTGTACCTGATTCGACCGACACCTTACCATGGAAACATTACCGAATACTCTTATAAAATGTAATATTATTTAATATAATGTAACATATATTATTAAAATATAATTAATAGGCGTTTCACATGTAAATCATATATTATATATTGAAAGTGCTATTATATATAGATATACTATACTATAAACAAAAAAAAAAAAAGAAAAAAATTTTTCTTGCATACATATTTCATAATTTATATATCGTCTTATTGAATTATTGGAACGGATGTATTAAAATTAAATTTTAGTATATTTCAAATTCTTCATATTTCCTTTTTTTTATATGTTGCACACATTGTATATTTTTTCTTTTTTTATTTTGATGAAGTAATAAATACAATCTGTATGAATTAAATCACATTGTCTTTATGTATCCAA